ATGAGTGAGAAATGCTGTACTTGTGAACTCTGGCAAGCAAGGGGCTGCTGGATTAGTGCTTTGATTGTTCAGAAGGTCTTAATCTTGTGTCTTTCCTTCACAGGGATTATTCATGCCCGGGCGCTGGTAAGAGAGTGTCTGGCAGAGACAGAACGAAATGCCCGTACGTAACAGTCGTTTCCTCCTGGCACTGCCCCTGGAGGACCCTGGAAATTTCTAGCAAATCAGAATTTTGGAATCTGGAGATTTCCACCTTGCCCCTTCAAATCTGTTCAGCAATCAGTGTCTCAAGGCCTAGAACTGCAATCGCCTTCCAAGACCTTTATACCAATTGGCAACTAAGAATCTGAAACTTCTCCTGTTGCATCACAGAACTTCCCACCAATTGGCACTCTGGGAGTACATGCAGAAAGAGTTTCTTGCACACACTTTTTGGTCAACCAATGAGAATGGGTGGTAGCAAATCCTATGTCATTATAAAATGTGTGGAGTTTTTTATATAAATAAAAGGAAAGGTTTGGAATTTGGATGATCCCTTCTTCACTGTGGTTTTCTAGGGGTTTTTTTTTATGTGCTGGTGAAGGAAATATTTTCTTCCTCACTAAGACATTACTGAGGGCCCATATTGCGAGATGTGCTTCCTTAGTAAAGCCGCATGAGGCCCTTTGCTGCCAGCTGTAAAGAAACCCTCAGCCAGCAGTCACTGAGCCTGTACTGGAAAACTTGTAATAAAATGTTTCTACTCATATATGATCTGCCTGTGCTGTTATTACTGGGACAGGAATTTGCAGTGTTATCTGTGTTAACAGGCTAAATTTTGAACAGTGCAGTCCGTAAGATTTTTCAAATTCCCTGCTACAATGCTGGAAAATTGCTTTGACCTTGTAGCTGGGGATCAGTGCTTGGACACTCTGCGCCACCTCATAGCTAGCACAAAAAGAACAGTACCAACTCCTTCTCCAAGTTTGTAAGAGTGACCCTGGAGAAGCATTTGGGGGCATTCTGGGGTGTGGGGATTGGAGACCACCATTGCCAAGATATAAAATATCCTAGCAGCACCTCACTCTCCTTCCTTGCTTCAAAGCATTCCACTTAGATGTCTAAAATCAGCCATCTAAGTGTTTTGCAGAGTAGGAAGTGTGTAGAGGCAACATTGCCTGTAACCCTCTGAGCTTGGAGGATTACTTGACATCCCCCTAGGATTGTGCTTTAATGCTGTTTTGTACAGAACTGAGTAGTGGTTGTCCCAAAGACTTACCCCCTCCATTTCTGTTGAGTTTCCAGGGCTTTATTGTTACATAATTCTACTTCTTGCTACTTCTGGATGTAAAATACCAAGCTTTATTAGAAGATTGGACATAGGGTTTTGGATTAAGTTTGTACCTTCAACCTAAAAGAGATGGTCTCAAAACAAATGAAAATGTGCTTTATGCTATAATGTTATAACCTGTTATCTGAGAGTAAGCTCTATTGAACTCAGTGGGACTTCTTTCTGAATAAACATGTAAAGTTTTGCACTATTAAGTATCTTAGTACAAATTTACCATTTTAAATTCAGGTTGCTTTTATTCATGATAGCTTCATGCTATTGTGCCCAGGAGAGGCTTTAGGAATAGGAATAGGCTGTCTCTTAGGACAAATCCAGATATTGTGAGTTAAGCCTGGGCTTCCTAGCACTTTCCAAAAGAAGAAATAGAGAAAAATTTAATCCTTTCATCCCCAGCTGTATCTTTTGTTGCTGTAGTTGAGCCTTCAGCAAGTTTAAAGATACTGAGCCTAGCTGGAGGAAAAGAAAGACATGAAATAATCAACTCAAGTTGCAACAACCCAGGATCAGGCTAGATAATCAGGAAAAGTTTCCTCACTGTCCAAGCAATATGACAGGTGGAACCAGTTGCCTGGATTGGTTGTGGGCTCTCCCGCACTAGAGACATTCAAGATGAAAGTGGACAGCCATCTGAGTGGAGTGGAATGCATCAGCAGGGGGTAGGACCTGATGGTCTTGGCCCCTTACAGTTTTATGACGAAAGGATGTAATCTGTTGTAGGGACTAGTCTATGTGTGAGGGGTGCATTAAGCACTTCTGGTCTGTCAGTACTTTGTTCACATTAACATTGGAAGGCAAATGTGAAATTAGGGCAGAACCCTATTGGGTTCATACCCATTAAATAGAAACTTTTGATCTCAGAGGCTTCTAAATATCCTGTGCTCTGCCAGGCTCTCGGCAGCAGGGCAGGAGCAACAATGGAGGCAATTTTTGCCCCTCAGGTCAGCTTTTCATTTTTCCCCCTAAGCAGGCATTTGATCCCACCTAGAGGAAACATGCTGCTGGGGTGAGAGACACCATGGAGAGTTTCATTGCTGGGCCTTTTCCCTCCCCACCCACTGGAGCATCCCCTTTTTGATCTCTGCAACATCTCCTGAGGCCACTTTGTGACCTTGGAAAGCAGACACTCATGGAGCTTTCTGCAGTGCCTGTAAGGGGGAGGGAGTCACAATGTTCCCCTCCTGAAGCTGTAATTGTGTGTACAGTGTCGGAAGAGAAATCTGAAAAATCCTATTAAAGACATTCTCCAGGGATCACAGGACTGCACCCTTTGGAAATGAACGATTGCTGTTGGATCGTGTAGCTCTTAACGTCTGCTAGTTGATAATTCATTTACAGTGTGCCTGAATTTGAGATAAGAATGTCCTCTGTTCCTGAGGAATGCCTAGTCTGCCATCATGGAAAGACTGATCAGGAAACAATAGATCTAAGCTGCTTCTAAAAATGTTCTTGTTTTTGCTAAAGGCTTTCTACCTCTTGGAAATATAGACAGGGCTAGGCATTTGGTCAGAAAGTTTATTAGCACTGTATCAGACTCATGACAACTATTCTACAAAAAAAGTTGTTTTTGAAACCCATTCAGTTGACTGGCATATGGCCCTACTTTGGAAGTAAGCTCTGCTCAGATCAATTAGGCTTTCTCTTAGGTAAAGGTATGTAAGACTGGGGTCTGAGAATTCAGGTTAATAGTTTTCACTGGACTGCACAGCAGTAAGCAAGCTCTTAAATACCACCTTTGAAATGTTTTTTTCCTCCAAGAAATTGTCCATTTATAGTATCAGTGACCATTTCCTGCTTCCTGTCCTGAAAAGGTGCATCCTGGGAGTGTTAACTAAAGCTAAATTCTTTTATGATTTGAAAGCTGTGTGTGACTGTGTGTGTGTGTGTGCTGGAAATTGCAATAACAACATCTGGTGGGGTTGCACATTTTCCACCTTGTTTTAGAAACATTCATGTACTTATTAGGCCCACTGCTAGATAAAGTGCCCTTCTGCATACTCAGGTATGCTCCATGTGCTTACATTGTTGCCTGTCCCCTGCATAGTGATTCAGAGATGAATCTTGTTGGACATGGACCACTTCAACCTACTGCTTGCTCATTTAACATACTGGCTAATTTGAGGAGCAAATGGATTAAATTTGCCTTTTTGAATGAGAATACTTTATATATGGAAAATTTGTTTTGCCCAAACACTCATCTGTTAAAAGAACCTCCTCTACAGATCAATGCTACACACAATAGTTCAAGATTTGTGTTAATCTAATTCCGTACCAGTAGAGTCTTCCCTGCATTCCGTAGGATGAAAAGATACTGAGATTCTAATAGGGGCAGAAAGGGATGATGCCTAATTAGAGGAATTAAAGAGGTTACAGTGGGCTGCATAAGGCAGCTGGGGCAGTTTGCTGGCGATCAATTTGAGTTTGATTGTTTGGATAAGGCCTCTTGTGAAAACATTCCTGACCTGGGTTTTGCTTTTTGGGGACTTGTACACAATTTTCTTCTCTTGATTTCCTTAGGCCCCCGACGGCTCCCCCATCCCTTTTCGGTTATTGATGTCACTGGCACTTGACGTCATCGGCGTTTCCCTGGTAATGAACTGTGATGTCACGGGAGGGGCGGGGAAGAGAGCGAGCGAGCGCGAGCACGGAAGAGCAGCGACTTTGCCAGCTCTGGGTCGCAGTTTCTATGGCAACTAAACCCGTGCTAAAAAGGGCCGGGCCGGGCCGGTGGGAGGCCTCCCGCTCCCGCCGGTGAGGAATCCGAACGAGGGGGTAGACATCCCAGAGGGGCGGGGTCCTGCCGGCCACAATCCTTTCCACCTCTGCGCGTGCACGTCGCTCTCTTACCGATCCCAACCATCTCCCTGAATTGCAAACCCGGAAAGCTTTTGTGCCGCAACGTCTTTTTGCGAGTACGCGCGCATCTTGTGGGGGGGGGGGTAGAAGAATAAACGCGCATCGCGTCCCCCCCACCCATCCTCGCCCATTCGACCCCAACAGAGCAGGGGAGCATAACCACGGCAAAGACGAGCGGCTTCCAATAAGCCGCAGCCGTGCCCCGCGCTTGCCCCGATTTCCTCTCCACCTGGCACAGCGCATCACCCCCACCGCGCTCCCTCCGTGCCCCCACCGCTGCACTCCTTTACACAAACCGCGTTTCCGTGTCGTGCGCGATCTCCTCCCAGTCACGCTCTCCCACCCACCCACCCCCCCGCCTTGCAAGGATTGCGAGACTGCGGCTGAGCGCGCTTTTCTGCTGCGGTGACGCGGGAAGCGACGGCCCGCTCTGTTTGCCTGTCCCTGGCCGGAGGAGCCTCCTCCCCACTCCCTCGTGCCAGTACCCGAGACCATGGTCCCGCCGCCGCCGCCGGAGCCGAGCCCAGGCGGCGCCCAAGCAGCCCAGGGCAGCGAGAGGGCGGGCGCAGGGAGGACTCCGTGAGGCCGGAGGTCCCTGCTGCTCCACCGTCCCCACGTTCTCCTCCCCGTCGTAGCATACCACTGCTTACACCACCGGCATCCCGCCATCGAGCCACAGGTCTGGGCCCGGGGCGGGGAGCGGGAGGGGTGGCGGCGGGCCGGCGGGCATTCGGGCACACGCAAAGCAGTGGGGCTGGGAGAGCACCGGGGACGGCATGCGCTGCTTGGCTCGCTGGGTGGGAAGGCGCAGAGCGGGGCTGCGAAGTTGGAGCTCCGCTGCAGGGAAGAGCTGTGCCGGCTTTGGACTGCAACGCAGGGGGAGAAGGTGCAGGGGGCGTTTCACGGCAGCGGAGGAGCTGGGATGTGGGGAGGAAGAAAAGAAGATGGCTCTCCGCCAAGGGGGTGGTTTTGTTGCCTCCCGGGCCCGTGAAAGTGAAACCATGTGGCCCAGCACGCCTTTTCCTTTCGCCTCGTTCTCTCGCTGTTCTAAGCCCAGGGTGGCGAGGAGGGCGACCTTGTGCCCGCCACCGACCTCCCACCCACGCCGAGTGCCATTCTCCAGTGCTGCTGGACCAAGGATCGGTAACAGGGAGCCCCTCACCTGAGCGAAGGCATGTGGGGGATGACGGCAGCACCGTGCTCCTTCTGCTCAAAGCGTTTCTGCCCCCCTCACGGGTCTGTGGGTTTTACTGAAGCTTGGCTTATACCGGCTCTAGTGTTTACTTGGAGCTTTCCGCCTTGAACCAGCCTTAACTTGACCGTTGGCTACCACGGGCGTCCTTTGAGCTGCTTGAGTAGCTACTTTGTGAGTTGGATTGCCATCTCTCTCTTTTTTGACTGAGTTCCAGTCCCTTTAATGGCCGCACATCAGGCATGAATTCAGCAGCTAAAGCATTCCCAAACATGGAGGTGTAGTATAGGTGTAAACTGCACCTACTGACTTTGTGTGTTGTGTGGCTACTAAAAGATCCAGAGGTCGAGGGGTGGGGGGTGGCAGTGACCCTTTTTGCCAGGCTTGGTGAATGTGTCAGGCAGGGGTAACCTCGGGGCTGTTTCTTAAGGTAAGTATGCTTTGTGAGCTGTAACGTTGCTTCTTTTATCCAGTTGAAATGACAAATTTTGGGGTTGAATACACCAACAAACAAAAAACACATAGTGTTTGCACTGAACTATTTACATCCATACAATATAAACACCAGTCCTGGGCAGGTGTATCTCTTGTTTCTCCTTAGCATGTGTGTTTAGGTTTGAAGCTGCTCCGTCCAATCTTATATGTACTAAGAAAATTTGTTTAGGATTAAAGCTTAAATGTATTTCATCCTGTTCTCTGTAGCATCTCAGCAATTAGTGACAGCTATTAGGTTTGGATGAATGAAAACATGCTCCTAGATAGTGTGTGTATTTGTAGGATGTGTATCTGAGGTTGGAGGAAGAAGGCTTGCTAGTGATAACATGATGTATGTTAAATACATAGTTGGCTGACTGAGTTGTGGCTGAGACACGGGAATGTTTGGATGTGAAGTTATTGCTGCAGGACAAGGCTTTATAAGGGAGTGAAATTCTGGAATAATCTCCCTGGTATGTTCATGGGAGCAACTGTATTTCTTTCAGGTTGAACACAAGTTTTTTTTTCCAGGGTTTTGTATGCAACCTCTAATCTTTCAAGTAAGGCAGGATATTTTTTGCCCATTGATTTTGTTTTGCCCCACAGCTGTAAATGACAATGTTGTGTGGAATAAACATGAATATGTTTCTCTGTGACACTTCAACAGAACAGTTTTGTTTTCAAGCTTAGAATCTCACAATGATTGACATATCTGAACTCAGGAACAAGTTTCCTCTCAAATGTTGATTGGTTCTGAACTTAGAAGCTGGTAGTGAGTGGCACATACAACTGCTTGAGCTAGCTGAGTATCCTGCCCTTTTTCTGAAGGCACCTCTAGTCATGGTCCGTCTTTGACTTCTCTTTTGCAGTATGTGCTGCATTATTTTGGATTTGGTGGGCTAATCTGTTAACCATTTCTTGCACTGTCTTTTCCAGACAGGATGCCCAGTGCAAGGATCTGTCTGGGCATAGCAACTTTAAAGTGAGAGCTGTGTGTCCAAGCACCTGTTTTCACAACCTCAACCCTCTATGCAAGAGGTTATTAATGTTGATTACACAGAGCTTTTGTATGGATTACTGAGATAATATATGTGAAGTTCTTTGAACACTTGAAATGTGTTCTAAGTGCTTTTATGTTGAATGTCAGTGCAATGTACAGGTTCCAAGAAGCAGAGCTGGATAACGTGTGGGGCAGGAAAAGTACATAATAGCCTACTGTAGGACTGCAAACTTTCTTGCTGGCAGGACCTCTGTGTCTTTAACAACTGCATTATAGGAAGAGATTTTGTCGCTTTCTCCATCACTCTTTTTTTATGCTAGATATAGCTAAGCTCATTCAATTTCTTCCCATTAATGTAGCTGTAAAAATACTGGAAGAAACAGAAAGATGGTGATTCAAGCTCACAGAAAGCAGGATTAGTCTATGCCCTGCAAGCAAAGAACTGGAAGAGGCTGAGAATAGCTAAAGGCACAACTAGTAATGGCATGAGCTAGTCTTCTCCAAACTGGTACAGTCCAAATGCTTTGGATTTCAGCCCCCATCATTTACTTTCTTGACCATGGTTGGTGGTCAGGAATGTTGAGAGTTGTAATCCAAAGCATCTAGTAGGGCTCAGGTTGGGGAAGGCCGGCATAACCTGACAGCTGTGTAAAATAAATGTTTATCTGGAAGGCTCTCTGCCTAATAAGTGTGTTTAGGGACTGAAGTCTTAATTTTGCATGGTATATTCTTGGCAGGAGCAGCTCCATGGGGAGGTAAAGTGCCCCCACCCAGTCTGAAAAAAGAGCAAGATGAAGTTAGCTAACCTAGCGATGGAGACAAATACAAGCATAAGGATTTGGGGAGGCAGGTTCACATAGGCACTTGGAGGGGTAGATCTGCCAGTTGTGTGTAAGGTGAGAGGAACAAGAATCCAGCAAGGAGTAGAGTGGAGCAGAGGATCAAAATGGTGCTACTCTTCTGCTCCCCGCTGTGTTTCCCTTCCAATACATTGAAGCTCCCTAGCCGAACATTAGCCAACAGTTGCTATGGAAACCTACCCAATGGGTTGTATTTTGAAATAAGGTCAGCTAGGGATTTATTTCTTGCTTCTCTTCTGAGAAAGTGACTACAAGGTTCAAGATGTTGCCTTTGGCCAGAGAATTCTTATCATCATCAAGATGTGTACCGTCATTTGTTTCAGCACATGTCTATTTCCTGTCAATGATGATGAATTGAAAAAAAAAAAAACCCTGAAACAGTCTGGGTGATGCAAGAAGCATTC